AATCGAACATAAATTGATAAGATTGTCGAAGAGAAAGAAAAAAAAAAGTTCTGAATCCAAATCTTTCAGGAGATAAAACAAAGAAAATTATTGCAAGTTCATCAATTCTCTCAGTGACCAGTCAATTGATCTAATGTCCAATCTTAAGAATCCACATGATAGTCAACATATTTCATGGAATCAACAGTATTCTAGTTGAAAATAATATCACGATGAGATAATCTGAATGACAGTTTTTCTCTTTTATTTTCCATCATGTTGATTGTTTAGAAATTCGCAGTTGAACTGTTGAAAATTTCTCATGAATCACAGGAAAAAATTATCTCCCTGTGTAAATATACTTCAGTTGTATCATCAATAAGGGGAAAAGAATTACTTATTTCACAGGGGAGATGAATTTCATGAGAATTGGAACAACCCCCGGAACTTATGAAAATGAAATTTTCACATCATTCAAAATACTTTTGAAACTAGCCAACGAAGTAATCAATTTATTGATCGGTTCATTTGATCAGACTGATGTGCTTGGAACTTTTTCTCACTATTATCATGAAAAATTCTCTCAAATTCTATCAACATGACGAAATAAAAAGTGAGAGATTTGTGAAAAGTTTTGCTGCTTTTCATTCATCAGATATTTTTTTTGTTCATGTGTTGACAAAAATGTTATAATATTTTATCCTGTAAGTCTTGTATCTTTGTTCATAATGATCACTTGATGATTAGTTTCTCAAGTTGTATTATTATTCCTTGTGAATCTCAGATTTCTTTCCTTCTCTTGGTGATAATCCACAATGGGAGGAGAAGGTGAAAATTCAATCTATTGACATGGTTAATACATGTACTTATGTCCTCAAGTTTATCGGAGAACAGGGAAAGTCAGAGAGAAAACTTGTCTCTTCCTCCCTATTCCTCTGAATTTTCTCATGATTCTGATTTTCAGCCTCTTCTCAGTAGACTTTGAGTTCTACATTTACTTTCAAATTCTCTCATGTTTTCAGAGTTTTCGTTTTCTATCTTTGCATATTCCTTAAGCTATAATCCTCGTCTCATTTTCTTTCATCATCATCATCATCATCGTCTCTCTCTCTCTCTCTCTCTCTCTCTCTCTCTCTCTCTCTCTCTCTCTCAATAAAATGTACTCAGTGATATTGGAAACTATTTTTACCCTCGGAAAATAATATAAACAGTTTCGGCAAAATTGTCGATCGATAAAATGTGAAAATATGTAGAAATCACAAGAACCAGTTGAAGTCCACATGGAAAAAAGTTCAAAGTAAATATGAGAGGAAATCAACTGGAGTACTCAGCAAATTTTCACCTAATCAACTCTGTGAAATATTAATATAATAATGACTCTGAATAAACTCAGTAATCATAGTAAGAAAATTAGCTCTCATTAGAAAGAAAATTTTTCTTTTTGTAAATTGAATATTCTCAATGAAAGTGAATGAAAATGTTTCTAGCTTCTAATTCCAACTTAAGTAATTATCCAACGGTTTAAATACGAGTGAGCCACATTTAGACTGAATTCTGATAAAGTTTCACTTAAATAATCGTTATAATCACCTGTAAATTCATGAAAAGTTTATCAAACAATTCATCCAAATATATCATGAGAATAAGAATAGAATCACAAAATAATAGGATTAAGCGAATGATAATCAATTAGAAGGGACAAAATTCTGAATCAACTTTTCGTCTTCTTTTCATTTACTTAGAAAGTTTAAACTTTGAAGAAAAATGAAAATTTGAGTTTACGAAACATTTTCCCTATTATATCATGTTCACCATGAAATCTACTATAAATACATGGTGGAGCTTTGAATTCGTAGCCAGTTGTTTCCAAATAATAGTCTGAGATCTCTGAGAGTTTCCAAATAGACTGGGAATCATTTGAGTGCGGGAACTAAGCCAAATAAGTTGATTGTTAATTCTAAATGTTGAATCAGCTGAATAATTAACAACAGAATAAGATACAAAGTTTCCTTTTCCTGTTGATTGTTGGTTCAGGTATCTCATGATTTTCATGGTTGATAAATTACTGAATAAATTACTGGTTTGGAATAAAATTTGAACTAATCTTTGTATTTTTATGATTATCATAATTATCTGTTGGTTATATTTTATTCAAAACAATTAAGAGTCAATTATTATCATTCAGATGATTATCATGATTCATGTAAGATTAATTCAGATGGAATTTTTTTTCACCGAATAACTTGAATAGATTTGACTAAATTCAGCTTATAAATCACAAACATTTACATTGATAAATTAAAGATGAGACTGTTTGTATTTTATTGTTCCTCAAGTTCTGAGAAATAAAGTTCCAAATACTTATCAAATTTAACCGTGAATTACATGAGAGCTTCATGGGAGATTGATAAGAACTGTTCTCGTTACTGTGGTGATAATATTCACACTCAAATTGGTTTGTAATAATTTCCAAGGGATGTATGAAAAGATCCATCAGAATCCAACAGAATTGAATCTACATCATGAGTGAGTTTCCAATTTTGATGGACTTAAATAAATTTTGTGTCAACAGAATACGACAGAGAGTGAAGCAGGATGAAGGTAAATACATAAATGTCAGCTGATTGTTTCTTCATCAACTTGATCACCTTCATCTTATCAAATTGACAAAATATCAACTGTGACTTTTATTTATTGTTATTTTTATTCACCATCTCCATCCAATGATGAAGTTGATTTCAATAGTTTCCATCATATCCCATTGATAAAGAAAAGGATGCTAAGGATATGACGAGCATCCTTATGATTAAGGATAAAAAATGTAACAGTGAATGATGATGAGAGATAATATCCCATTGGGATATCAATGTGTCTATTTAGTATTATTATCCCTTTAGAATGTTGAAGAAAAGAAGAAAAAAATATCATTCTAGTTTTTTTCATCTATTCTTCTTGAATGGATACACCCTGAATATCCTCTTGTTCCGAAAGATCATCTCAGCAGGTAAGAAGAGAAATTCTTATTCTTCATGATACTTTCAACTGAATTTCATATTGATCCTGATTTTTTGCTCTTCTTCTCTTCCTATCGTTCATCACCTTTGAAATATAATAATAAACACTCAAGGGATAACTTGAAATGTCAAATTCACAACATTTTCATCTTCAATCATTCAGCAAATTCAGTCAGAACTTTTTCTTTTTTTATTTACCGGGAAAATTAAACCAGAAAAATTCACCTTTTTATTTTCCTAATTCAATGTTTGATCAATTCACCGAAATTATCTCTCAATGAATATTCAGAATTCACTTGCAATAACATCAAGTGCTTAAAATTGAGGGTAAATATTATTTCCAATGGAAAACTTTGTATTTATTTAATAAGTGAATCTCTGTCTCCAGTAAACTAATATTTGTTTATGGATAATAATCAATCATGGAAAACTAATCAATTCTAATCTTCATTAAAACCAGAACTCTCTGTAATAATAATTATGATTAAATCTTTTTCTCCTCTAATTGTTTACAAAACAAAGTCACAGAGAAAAGTTTGATTTTTCAAATGAACTTTTTGTTCCCCTTTGAGTCCCATGGTTAATGATTCCAAATCTTTTAATCATGAGTAAGATTTCAATATTTAATGAACTTTTACCATGTGAATATCTGCTAATGAGTTAACAATAGTTGAATTTAAATATAATTCAACAATTGGAAAATCTATTTACTTAAAGGGATAATTTAACTTAATTGAATGTTAATCAAGAAAAAATTTCGTATTCTAAGATTAACATTATCCTTTCAAAGACTTAATTGCAATTAAGATAATACAATCAAAGTAAATTTACTGTACACTTTAAACATGATTAATAAATTGTTGGTCTCTTGTAATAATTTTCAACCTTTTTTTTGGTTTTACAGTCATTTCAGTCAGAAAGCAACACATTGGTCAAGATACAATTCGATGGTCACTTTAGTCTTTGTTTTAGTTTCCCTCCGTTTAGAAATTTGTTTTTGTGCTTTTCATCAATATGCCTCAGTTATCTAAATAAGTGAAAAAATTAATAATCGAAGCTCATCGAAATGATAAAAATAGTTCTGAAATCGCGAAAATGTTCAACACTAAACCAGGAACAGTTAGATCAATTATCTCTCGTTTCAACAAATCAGGTACATTAGAAAGGAAAAAGACAAGGAAGAGAAATTTAAGTGATGAGATTGTGGAAGTGATCAAAGGATGGGTTCGTGTTAATTGTCAACTAACATTGGAAGAAATCAGAGATAAAATTGAGGAGGAATTCGATATAAGTGTTTGTGTCTCAACTGTTTACTGTAATACAACTGTATCTTGACAATACCTTTTTGTAATTTAATCAAATTTAAATTGTACAATTGAAATAAATTTAATTTTCTCTTGAATAGTTAATTCAATTAGCTTGTAAATTTGTACTCTCTACAATTTAGTTGATTGGCTGATCAGCAAAAAATTTGAAAATTTGTAAACACAATTAACTCTCATTGTTTTTTCTCAATTTGTATCAAATCAATTGGTCGATTTATCCTAATTGATTTTAATTGATTAGTTTTATTGATGATTAGTTTTAAATTAGATTATAATTTTAAACAAAATTGCTCAACCATCATATTAATATATCAGTTGGTTAGATTTTAATTGTGATTAGTGAACGTTGATTAGGGTTGTTATCAAAATTGATCCCTAGAGTTTAAGTTGACAGTTCAAAACTAATCAAAGGAAGTTAACGTTGTGTACAATTAAGGTAATCACTGATTAGATTTTATCATAAAGGTGAACAATTAACCAATTGAACTGTATAAGAGTATCACCGTAGAGAGAGAGAGAGAGAGAGAGAGAAACTCAACGATCTAAATCAATCAAACTTTCAATCAGTAATTTGAATTTACCATTTGACAAACAATTAGACTATTTAATATATCAATTGATTTGGTTACCTGAGTTTAATTAAATAACTGTGAAAATTAAAATTCTAATTGTTTCCATTTAGAAAGCTGGTGCAGTGCTATTTGGGATGGTGTTTATTGCTGGCCACCGGTCAAGGCAAATACCCGGATACGGATATCATGTCACACAATTTTCGAGACTTCAAAGTTAAATGTCCAATCAAGTTATATTTATTCTGGTGAGTAATTAATTTAATTGTTTAAATGGTTGTTTAATCCCTTAAGACCACAATTAAAATAATATATAACAATACAAATGAAAATGTAATTTCCGTTAATCATGATTATCAATTAAAATGATTAACCAGGAAGTGTATCACAATATATTATACATTTGTATCATTTGATTCAATTGTTACCATTTCCTATTCCATGGTGATTCAATTATCACCCTGAATGATTTGGTATGTCAGGTGAATGGTCAGTTTTGACAGAAAAAGTTTTCTTTTAACCATCACAACAATAGCCAGTTGAGAGAGAGAGAGAGAGAGAGAGAGAGATGGAGGGAGAGAGCCTACCTGATATTATTAGTATATATTAGGTGATGTGGTCAGTAACATTATCCAAAACTTTTACCTGAAGGAATTATAATAAAAATATTGAAATGATAACTAAATTCCCTGAGGGTTGATCGATAAACAATTTACACAACAGACAATCAGTTGATTTTGGAAATATTGATGATTAGGAGAATCTTTTATTTAATATTATACTTTATTCATTGAATAGTATTCAAAGCCCCAAAGGGTTAGTTGATTATTTAAATTTCTTAATTGTCCAACTTATGCAAATTAGATGGGAAAAAATTCCTTTTTCATGATTTATTTACACATTGGATGAAACAATGATGATATATTTAAGAGAAAGTTCAACTGATATTCAAATGCCCTGAAGGGAAAAGAAAACTTTTCCCTGGGTAAACAAAAGTTTGAAAATCTATTCATTTAACACTTTGATAAAAAGTAGAGAAGAAGATGAAAAAATAATAATCGATTAGTGTGATGAAATTTTCTCTGTTTTATTTTTCCACTCTCATGAATTTCCATGAATCTATTGTCATTTACAAGTTACTATTGAAGAGGAATTGCATCTCTATATATTATTATTATTATCTCTCTCAGGATTATTTGGTGATCTCTGAGTAAATTGAAAGATAAACATGGAACATCAATTGTCATGTACAAAGATTAAAGTGATTACAGGTTGATACTATTCTTAACTCAGAGTCAGGGTGAGAAATGGAGATATTTCTATACATAAATAAATACCACGTAAAGTTATCGTATTATTATCATGAAATTGTAATGATGAGGAATCCACGATTCTCATGTCAAATGTTATCCATTTATTTTGGTGAAATAATCATGAGCAAAAGTGAGAATGATGTTCTTATGACTAAAGTTATCTAAGGAAAGGTAAAGTAGGAAGTTGATGATGAATATATTCATCAAACATTTATATTGGAATGATGAACATTAGTTATCATACTACGATAAGAATCTTGACCAAAGTCCGAGCTTTTAATACCATCTTATGAATCGTGTACATGGATTCCTATGGGAGAGAGAGAGATAAATGGAAATGCTTTGAATTTTGTTCAATATTTTCACTGAATAATATTGGTAAGAGTTTTGGAAAATGAGCCGATAAAAATGAGTATTTGATAAATTTCATGGAAAGGAAAACAATCATTTGAAAATGAGGAAGAAGCTAAAATTATGTAAATTTATTCAGATGACAAAATTATCGTCATTATTATTGAAAATAATGAGAATAGGATAAGAAATGTTTCATCTCTATTTCCACCTCAGGTAATTTTATTATTACATCTGAATAGGTTGAAGGTTTATTGTCATGATAATGTTGCTATACTTTACCAAGCAAATATCATGACCATCATCTGGTTAATCGTTGTAATCATTTATCTTCACTGAGTAAAAACTAATCATTCTTATTGTTAGCACCATGGAAACTATTGTGATAATAGTAATTTACCTGAAAAGAAAGTGATAACTTTCTCATCCAGCATTTTGGTTATTTCTAATATTCTATTCTCATTTTTACCCATCAACAATATCCTCTAGATCCAGAAGCCTTTCGTCATTGTGATTCATCTGGAAATTGGTCGAATGGAAATTGGACCAATTACACCCAGTGCCTGAGTCTCCTCTCACCGGTAAATATTATATTCGTTAATCATTCCAATCATGATAATCGCCATGATTGTCGCCCATTAATCACCATTGTTGCTCAAGTTATCAACATTTCTCTTTCTCTTTCTCTTATTTTCTCTTAATATTCATATGAATCTCTCATGAATTACAAGTCATATACATGATAAAAGGTAAAAGATGAAGATGATGAGGATAATCTTAGGTTTTTTTGTTAGTATTACCTCATAATAGATGTGATCAAATATTTCACCTTCATATCCTCATGTTTGTCTGAAAGATAACTACGTTAAAATGAATTTCTTAATGTATATAACTATGGATTCATGGAGCTACCTGAGCTTTTTTTCATTTTCATGATACTCAATCATTGGGTAATAATATTGATAAGGAAAAAGCCTTTAACATGGTGATATTTCACTGTAAATGATGAATTTTGAATAGAAACAAAAAAAAATCCATTTAGATGGTTAGGAAATTATCACTTTAATCATTATCATTATCGAGAAAGTTTATTGCTTTTCAAGGTTCAGAATTATATTAGGAAAATGTTGGATATATTTGGTGAGGAGAAAAGTTTTCTTGTCATGATGATGATGATGATCGATAACCTGATGCATGATGAACATTCAATGTTAATCGAATAGTAGACATTTTAAATGTTCTGACGAATAATAATAATCAATGTTCTCGTTTTTATCTTCCGGAGAGGAAAAGAAATTTTCACAAAATTTTCAACTTTTCTTTTTCATTATTCTTTCCATGAAATTCACTAATATCTCATGAATATCCATAAAAATCTCATCACAACTTTTTCCCTTCTCTTTTCAATTGCATTTCTATTCTATATTTCCCTCTCATTCATTACATTGTTTTCCTTTTTTTTTATACATTCTATTTGTCATCATAATATTATCTTCACCATAGAAATTATTATAATCATGATTGTCATCAATTTCCCCTCATTGTCATTATTATGCTAAGAACTTTTTGTTCCTCATCGTAGATGTATTTATATGTGTATTCGGTTGATTGTTATATAACATGAATTTATTTTTACGCTGATGGAAATTCATGTTAGAAGGTTGGACCGAAAATTCTGGTTTCATTTTCATGAGCAAGAGATAATTTCATTTCCACTGATTTACTTAATCGTCAAGAGATGAACTTTGATCTACTTTGTATCCCTCTTTCTCTGTTTATATGTTTGTCTATCTATGGGATTAACTTGATAGGTTGGAAATTAGATATTCTTGATTGAGAAAACAAAATTCTGACAGTTGACTAGCTAATTTATTATTTAATTTTCCTCACAATCAAATTTCACTGAATTGCTCAAATTTTTATTTTTCGAATGAGTCAAATGAAATTGTATTCAAATTAACAATGAATAAGAAATCATGTTTCATGGAGAAAGCAAAAGACTTGAAAAGTAGATTCCAATGTTCAAGTTGTATGGAAGAATAAAAAAAAAGTCAATTCTAGAGTCAGAAAGTTATCGAAATCGTCTTGATAAAATGTTCTGAATAGTGGTGACACCTTTTGAAGAAAAAAAGAAACTTTGGATTTTTTTGTTTTCTCCTCAACTAAACTAATCAGTTTACGAGTTAAAACTATTAGATTTCAACAATTTATTCAATCAATTTATAAGCAAATTGAAAATAAACAATTGTAATCAATTAGTAGTTATAACAAATTGTAACAATCGATGGTGATTAGACTTATCAATTGGTTCTAATTAACATATAAATGCAATAGAGATTCAAATTTCATTGAGATGATAATTCAAGCTGATTATCAACTAGATGTAATTGTCAATAGATGAAGATTATGACTGGTGACTAATTAACAATATTAATTATTAATTGTTTCTCTTTTTACAGTCTTCAGATAAATCGGTTCCTTATGTAATCGGATATATACTTTTCATTTGCTCATCGATTTCAATTGTCCTCCTATTGACCACAATGTTCATTTTCTTACATTTTAAGTAAGTTAATCAATCAATTAAATGTAAATTCTGATAATTATAACCCTAATTGTCCTCTAATTATCAAAAGGAAACTTGAATGTCCACGACTTCGAGTCCATCGTAACCTGGTGTTCGCACTTATTGTCCATTGTCTTGCACTTTTAATAATTTCATCTTCCATCGTATTTGATAATCACTTTCAATTTGCTCGAGAAAATGTAAGTTTTATCTTAATTGAACTCGATTAAACAATAACGAAAAGAAAAGAAAATTAAATTAAATCTTTTTTTCAGTCGATTCTCTGTAAATTGGTTCTATCAATGAAAATGTATTCCGCTTTATCCTCAATAAACTGGATGTTCATCGAAGGCCTTTTACTTCATAGTAGAGTGACCACTGGAATTTTTCGTAAAAGTTTCCCATTTAGACTTTATTATGCCATCGGTTGGGGTAAGTTGAGAATTTGACCAAAAACTGACCAGTGAAAGAGAAAAGTTGTCACAGTTAAACTTATCAATCAATTGATTTAAATTGAGAATCATTTTGGTTGATCAATGTAACATTTAAATCAATAAAGATAATCTTAATTTCTTAGATGAAATTTATTAGTTTAACTGCCAATAACATTCACTGTTCAGTTTATCCAGAACTTTTCTTTTCTTCTACTTCTTTTATTACAGAATAATATTGAGATTCTATTGAATAATAATCCATTAGATCAGAATCAATGTGTTGAAGTTCAATTGAATTAAGATAAATGTACATATATCAAAGTTAATCCTTTATCTTTACTACCTTTTTTTTGGCCCACTTTTCCACCACCCATCAGGTATCCCACTCTTCATTATACTCACATGGGCTTACATTGTTAACCAAACACTACACTCTCGATGCTGGGAAGGATATGGAGATAGAGCAACTATATGGATTATCACTGCTCCAATGATTTTAGCTTTACTGGTAATCTTTTCAATAGATATTCATTTATTGTGATAACAAAATTGAAACCGTTTAATTGAATATTCAGTATATATTGAAGATTAACTAATAATAAAGTACAATTAATAATCTCTCTCTGTTATTATTTTCTTTTCCCTATCAAATCAGATTAACTCAACGTTTCTGGTCAATATAATTCGGATTCTTGTAACTCAACTCAACCGGAATCGATCAGAGGAAACTAATAAAATCAGGTGACCTAAATATTGATGATGATGACCCTTTACCTTAACGATATCAGATTTATTATCAAAGGTGTTGGTAAATTTACCAAAAAAAAACAATATTTACTTTTATCTTCAGTCATATTAAGTATATTTCCACTCGATTAGTTATAAGAGCTCTTTAATCGTTGATGCAATTTTATTATTACGAAAACAAACTTTACCACTTGACCAGATCAACGATCTTTATTGGATAACAAGATTGTATCAACGAAAAGCATCAAAAGTTATCATTTTATATGTATCATGTAAAGATTTTATAAAATAATAGATTGAATTATATTCAAAAGGGGGCTAAAAGCTCAATGGATGGAAAGTTTTCCTTTGATTCATAGTAACTCTTTCAGTCAGAACTTTAATCAGAAATATACTTTTGCCATTTTCGTTGAATATCCGAATCAATGAGTTATGATTCCTTGTATTAATTTTTTTCTCTTTTTTCTCTTTTTTTTCTTTCTATACATTTCTATCTTCATCAACGTCTCGACTCGATGGATAATCTTTTTTTTTCACCAGCAGAAAAGCAATTAAAGCAACGATACTTTTATTCCCACTCCTGGGAACGACTCATCTACTTTTCTGCTTCAACCCCAAGAATAATAAAGAGCTTGAAATCGCCTACATGATAACGAATGCTATTCTTCAATCGTCACAAGTAATTATATGAAAAAAAAGTCTCCATGAAAGCAAAAGAAAAAGGAAAAGTTTGAAATTCTGTTTGCATCAAACTCAACAAAAATTTTGCGCGAATTTCGAATCAAGTAAATTCCAATCACTTGCGCAAGAATAATTGACATTTGATCAAATAGATGTCTCGACAATCTCTACAAAAGTTCAACTCTTAGTTGGGTGAAAACTAGATGAATCCCATGATCTCAAGCGAAGTTGAAAGTTTCAGTTTACTTGAAAATTTATTCAGTCAATCTAATTGTTCATCTTAAGGATAAAGTTATAATATTGTTACGATTTGCAAAGTTATCACCATAGTTACACTTAGGAATTGAATATGAAACCTGAAAGGTGACATCAAATTTGACCAACATGATGGATGTTCAACCGATAATCAAATGATATTGTCTATTTAAAGATTGATACAAATTCCAATGGTCATTAAAAAGATGACCATTAACAATATTTTCCTCCGAAAAGATGAGATTTTTTCTGTCCCCATCTTCACCAGTCAATGTTACCATTGAATAAAATACGAAAACAGGTCAAAGTTGAATAGTAACGTTTCTAGGTTTCTAGGATACATAATGAAACTTTCCATGTAATAGATATAATTTAACCAAGAATTTACTCTTTCAAGATAAACAATTTATCAGGAATTATATTATTATATTTGTTACTTCAGATGAAACTTTGATCCATTATGTTTGATCCGTTCACTTAGTTTCATGGAAAAGAGATTGAAAAAGTTGACCAATGAAAAGATTTGCTATCATATTATTATTATAATATATTGGTAAATCTTTAGCTTGATAACCATGAATATTGAACTTGAATCAATTAAAGTTTAACTATCATCAGATTTAAATGGCTTCAGTGAAGGTTAGCTGAAAGTTACTATCATCTTCATGATAAATGATCATGAATCTTGAAGAGATTGGAATTTTTTCTCTTTTCTTTTCAATTGATCATTATGAACTCTCAGTTTACTTTTACTACATATAAGATGATACAGATTATCTAATACATTATCAATATAAAAGAATTTATTTTCATCTCATATTATTGAAATTCTGAGAATATTTATCTTATAAACATTTGAAAGGAATTAATTGTGGTCAGAATTCAATAGGAATGATAGTAAATATTAATACATCTTACCTTTTGGTTCCAAATGTAATTTGAAGCACTTTTGGACGTTACTCTGTGCAGAAATAAGTTATCATGATTTTCAGGGTAAAATAAGATTGGCAATGGAAAATCTGTAAATCAAGATCATCTTTCCTTCATCTTCAGATATGTTTACTAATTCATCTTAGATTTACAATCTAAAATGTTTAAGATGTTTGTACTCTCAACTGGACAATGGATTTACCCTTTCAGAGTACATTTTGAGTACAGGAAAACGACTGAACCATTAGACTGAACTTGACATATAACTACAAAGAAAATGGTCTCAAAGGAATAAAAGTTTCAGGATCAACTAATTATCATAAGAGATTGAAAACTTGAGACGAAAGTTTTTCAAGTTATCAAATTTTTCCTCGAACTTTTTCTTCCTCTTACTCTCCTCTCGATTCTTCTCTGAGAAAGTCACTTGAAGAAATTTTGTTCTTTTCAAGAGAGAGAGAGAGAGGAGAGAATAATGTGTCGAAAATGTAACTAATTCTAATTCTAATTTCTTCTCACTTTTCTATTAGGGAATTTTTGTCTCATTCTTTTATTGTTTCGCCGATAGTGAAGTTCAACGGGCGATTCGACATACAATCAAACGTGGCTACTTAGGGCGAAGTTCAACCGTTAATTCAATGAGAAGCTGTTCAGCTCGAAATAATTTGAAAAACTTGGAAATCATCAGATGAAAGCACTTCAACCTTTCCAACGAATCAACTCACAAGAGATTCAGATTGAAACTGTTAAACAAAACAATATCTCAGCAATTTGATAATTAAATTGATTGATATTCTAACCAGTAACATATACGGAAGCCTCAAGATAATTTTAAAATAATATTGTTAACTTACCTTGGATACTTTTATCAACTATGATAACTTTTTGATTAAAGAACTTTTTTCCTTTTTCTTACTTGAATATTATCGTTTTACTAATTATTCACTCAAAGATTCCGGTGCATTTGTAATTCTTGCAATTGAAAGGTTCAATTTTAGATTGTCTTTAGGCAAGAAAAGTTAATTAAGAGAAAAGATTAAAGTTGAATGTGAAGATTTGGTGTAAAGGAGAAGTGATAATGTTGATTGTTCCAATTCAATTTCGACAATGAACTTGCTCTTACCATTCATAACGAACTTTGGAACTTCTGACCATGCTCATGATCTTTTTTACCTCTCCCTCGATATCTCACTAACTCCCACTTCGAGGTTCATCTCTTTTTCGCTCATAAGAATATCATATGAATCGTATATCGTGTATCTTTCGAGCATCGAAAGTTTCAGCAAAAAGTTCCAATTCTTTTCTCCTTCTCCTTTCTCTCTCTCTCTCTCTTTCTCTGTGTTCAAGTAATCAAACAGTAAAAGATTAATTCTTTGTTTATATTGATACATAATAGTAATTGTTTGATTTTCTAAAAGTTCCAATTGTTCATAAGGAAAATTAATCAATTTAAATTCATGATTGAATGTTGAGTTGGCATGAAAATTTAGGATCTATTAATAGTTTCGGTTTTGCTGAAAAAGTGCCAATAAAAAAAAGTAAATCAAATTGTCACAATGTTACCAACTCAATATTATTTGGTGTTTACAGTTTTACATCATCTAGTATTTAATTGTTCAGGGAATCATTTAAATTGTGTTCATCGTTTTCTCAGTGATCAATCACTATCTTCTTTATCATCGTCTTCATCGTCTTCATCAACGAAATACTCATCTTCCTCCTCATCCCCAGCATCGTTCAGTGTATCAACATCATCTTTCACTTCAACATCCCATTCACCTTCACCTTCATCTTCATCCTCATCCTCATCCTCATCTCCATTATCATCATCATCCATTTCATACAATTACCTAATCGGATATACTAATCCCAATAACAACAGCAATAGTTTGAAATCTAAAAATGATAAACATGTTAATCTAATCCATCATCATCATCATCATTCATTACGAAATAATAATAATCAATTTAATCCAATAATCAGCAATTCCAAGTTAATTTCAAGTGTCTCCAATAAATTGCCATTAACATCAACAACGAAAACAACAATTACACCAAAAGATCAACAACAACAACAACATCATCATCTCCACATGGATCATGGCTATAAATTATCCTCTCCAGTGATTAATAATAATAATAATAATTTACCATTTTTATCAACATCAACATCATCAACCCTGATGATGAGCTCGGATGAATCATCATCGGCTGGTGATCAACCCGTTAATCGAACCCGTTTTAGTCACATTTCCCTTTCCGGTAAAGTTTTCTCATGGCCAGTGAAAAGAGTGGCCGAGGTTAATGGTGACATTATTTTAGGTGGACTGATGATGATACACCAACGGGAGGATAGGCTAATCTGTGGTGAGATTATGCCTCAAGGGGGTATTCAAGTTGTTGAATGTATGTTATATACACTTGATTGGATTAACAATCAGGAAGATTTTCTTCCAGGAATAACATTGGGTGCATACATATTGGACGATTGTGACAAGGACACTTATGGCCTGGAACAGTCTGTAGACTTTATTAAAGGTAAGAAATATATATATGCTCAACATTTACCAAAGAAAATGTTAATCAATTTCAATTTAATCACAATCTTAATCAACCAGGGACGAAAAGTTATCCAATAATCAGTTATTCCCATAAATCAATTCTAATGAATATAAAAATCAAACTAATAAATCGTTGGGAAAACTTTTCTAAATTTAAATTATTCTCTTATATTATTATCATATAATATTACACCAAATGTAATTTACCGATAAATTTACATTCATCATCATCATAATCATCATTCAATGAACTTTAACCATGTCTTCATGTCTCATCATGTTCATCATGATCTTTATTAGATTCATTATGTGAGCAATTCAATTGAATTGTGAGAAAAGTGAATCTATTTTTATTTACCATCATCATCTTACATTATTTGGATGTTAAAGCAATTTAATTTAATTTGCGTTTCAAGATTTCAAACAATATGATCAATCTGAATTCATGGTGATTCAATTTGAAAAATACCATGAATACGTATTCTTAATGGTCTCTGAATGAAATCTCAATGGTTCTTAATTTGGGAAATAATGAATATGTATGAATATGTATGTTCACTTTGAACATATTATATTGTTTTCTTTTGTCTCAAATTTTTCTTATTATTCAGTTATTATCAATTACTCAGCATCTTCATGGTGCTGGTGTTAATTATTGAGATATTTTGATGATATTCAGCAGAAAACAAAATCCTGATGAGTCTAAGGACTTAATAGATTAATCAGTTGGAGAAATTTGTTTGTTCTGATGAGTTTTTCTCTCTCTCTCATCAATTCTTAGCCTGTGGAATTTGAATTCCGGTTCATGATTGAAATTCATTAAAGTTTACGATTTCCTTTTGTTTCTGAACTTTTCAGAATTTCTCTCTCTTTTATTTATATTCTCAATTTATTGTACAGGTTGAATTTCACTTTTTCTAAGGTAATTTATGAGCATTAACGTTAAAAAATAATCTTATCAATAAAATTCAGACTTTAAATCCGCATGAAAAGATTAAACTGTTTTTCATTTAAATGTTATAACCCAAATTGTAATAATTATGCTCATGATAATTCATGAAGATGATCATGAAATTATCCATTCATCATGGTCATCATATTTTTAGTTATTCATAATCTTGGCAAGTCACTGTTTCTTTTTGTTGTTCAATAGCGTCAAATTTATGCTACAAATAAAAAGCAACAGGGGAGATAATGTTGATTGAATTTCCAAAAATGAACTGAATTTTCCTGAAAGTTAGATGAAAATTATACAGTTTTGTAGTTCATGAGAATCTGTAGGAATTGTACCAACAGTGACAGATTCATGGTAGAATTCAGTATAAATTTTTACTTCGAAAATGAGTCAATAGTATGAATTTGAAATCGAAACTCATGAAATTGGAATCAAATGAAAAGTTTTCTCCAAGTGGTTGAGAAAAAACAAATTCGAGTAATAAGAAAACGATACTTTCGATTGATATTGAATGTTACATGGAAGTTGATTGAAAAATATTCAATTTCAAGGAGATTAAAATTATCTTATTCGATTGAGATGATCATCTGTCTTTTATTTTGTAAACTTGATGATAAATTGGTGGTCAGTTTATGGTCAAATTCTGGGTCAGGGTGAAGAAAAAAAAATTCTTTACTTTTTATCAGTAAGATTTAATGAGAAATTGATTGTCCCGTTAACAATCAATATCAATCACTCAAAATTTGTTAACAAGTACAAACCTATTAGAAGAAAATGAGATTAAAAAAAAAGTTCTGATTGAGTTCTTATCGATTGATAAACATTTATTATTATTAATAAGAACATGAATTAGTGAAACTGACCACCAACTAATCATCGGTGATAAAACTCAATAAACTCATCTCATCACTCATAATGAACATAAACTTTGCATTACACCTGAGATCAGGGGGATTATCATGAGAAAGAGTTGTAATGGTGAAAATGATGAATTAATAAGTGAGAGGGAGAGAGTGAGTGAGTAATTCCTTAAGTGTCCACTCACTTTGTCCATCTTCATTATGTGTACCTTTTTGAAAGAAGAAGATGAAGATGATGATGATGAAAAGTTCTTTATAAACTTGAATCTTTTCATCTTCATCTTTACCCCCAGTAGGAATTTTAGTGCATATTAACAATTGACCATTTCTCAATCTTTTTTGACAACAGAAAAGATGGTAAACTGACCATTTGACAATGTGAGATGTATATTATAGCAGAGATGATACTAACATGTTCTCATATCAACTTCTAACTGACCAACAGATCACCAGTTTGATGATAATACAATGATAACTTTCTAGCTTATGAATTTATTGTTATTATAGTATTTTAATCAATCTAATATCAACTATTTTACCTTCAAACAATAATCATAGATGATGAAAAAATATGATCATGATGAGAATGACACAAGATGACCACCAGAATCTTGTCCAGTCATCACCAATGAACATATCAATCCATTGTGATCATCTTAATACCTTTAAACCATCAAAAGTTATTATTTTTTTCCTCTCTCCTCTTGTCATTTAACCTAAAGGGTATTGAGAAAATCCTTTAACGAGAAGATGATGAAGAAAATATAATCAAAATTGATGAAAAGTGAGCAAGGAGAGAGAGAGAGAGAGAGAGAGAGAGAGAGAGAGAGATGCAAAATTTGCCATTCTCATGAGAATGAGTTTAGTTAATGAAATCCCATGTGATTAAAGTATTGAGATTGTTTATTTTTATGATTATTTGTAATTATTTCAAGGTAAATACACAGAGAGAAACTGGAAAGTGAATTAAATTGTTGACAATTAAAATTAATTCATAAAACAAAACTTATTCAAACTTGTTTTCAATGTAATCAATTTGGCTTAATTGTTGTTGATGATTACAATTTTTTTTTGTTCAAAGGGCAAAAGTTAATTGTGAAAGTGACTATGAAAATTAAATTAATGTTCATTGTGTCTGGATACAGTTTACGAATACGATTGATTAATTTGATCGTTAATTTTTAATGGGTTAATTGTTATTATTAGTAATTTTGCCGTTTAGTTGATTAAAATTGCATCTGATGGGTAATTTAATTGTTTCCAAGTGCATCGAGTTAAACTTTTATATAATAATAATTTAATTGAGTATATTGATGATATATTGTGTCTGCAATTAATTGATCCAGTTAATTGTCTTTGGTTTGAGTTGATTTTTCAAGGTATTGATTTCATTTTACGTAATTTACCCATAAAAAGGTAACAATCAAGGCAAATCTTAATTGTATTACCTGGTTCAGGTGAGATTGCGGTTCTAATTGCTCCCGATGATGAGGTTGCCGTTGAAAGTGATTTTAATAGATTAGGTAGTTTACTTGTTCCAGGTAAATGTCGTGGTGATGGTGGAGGTAAAGGTGAAGTTGATCCAAAGGAGGTTGACTGAGATTCTGATGAATTTGGTGATATGGATTCTCGACCCTGATTGATGTTTGATTTTCCTCCCGATCCAATTGATTCCTCCGTTGATTCTTGTATTGTCATAGTTCTGATCGTGTTTTGCTTTGAGACAATTTCTTTTGGATTAGAAGTTAACTCAATCTGATCAACAGTTACTTCGTACATTTTTTGATTCGAGGGTAAATGTAAAAGGGTTGAACATTTATCGCACATTACCTGTGAACAGATTTTACACTTTGCCGGCCACTTGACCAATCCAAATCTTACCTTTAAACAGACAAAGCAAATCTTTTTATTGGCCAAATCAGATTCCAATTCTTTGGTTACACTTAAACTTTCCCGTTCACCTTTACAAATAACTGATCGTAATTTCTGTAAACTGTCCAGTGTCATAGTGGAAGGCTCAAAGTTATCCTGTGAACTGATAAAGCTCATCAACTCTTCATACCAACCCCGAGTATCCTGGTTAACGTTAATCTTTCCCGATATTGACTTGGCCTTGGAACCTTTTCCCAAATCAGCTGATGAATGTCGTGATTCAAACGATTCAAGGGTTGACCTTAACTTGGAAGCAAGAGTTGACCCTTTAATAGGTAAACCTGAAGATGAACTTTTCGCTTCATTGGACAATTTCAATATCCTTCCAACTATTAGAATGCCAAAAGAAAAACAAGAAGAAAAATAATGATCACTATTGTTTATCACAATTAAAACGAAATACTATTAATATAAGGTCATTTATAAGGTGATATCTAACCTCGAATTGATAATAATTGATCATGAAGATCATAATCATGATAAAAGATACAGAATCTGAGACCAATAATTATGTATCGTCTCTCATCAATATTGATTATTATTAATAATATCATGTGACTGATTAGTATTATTTTTTTTTTCTGCTGAGAGTTACAATATTTATGTATAAAGGACAATGAGGTAACAATGGAAAAGATAATGATGACGATGAAGATAATCATCATCATGGAAAACTGATGAATTCAATATAATAATAATGCTAAAGTTAATAATATCATGTCTCATGAAACTATCAACTATTCAGCTAACAATGAAAGGTATGATAATGTGCCCACCAAGGGGATGATTATCCTTCCTGTCTAGTTAAATGTTTCAAAAACTTCATTATTTCTGATTTTATAGTTTCCCATGAACTTTTATTCTGTTCATCGTGAGGATAAAAAAAACCTACTAAATGATGATCAGAACATGATGTTATATGTTAAATATTATGAAGGTGATGAGGAGGAAAAAGTTCATTAAGGTTTAAAACTCTGAAACATTGATGAATTAACCATCGAGTGGTATGTTGGTATTTTGTTATTATTAATTTATAACATCATGTCAAGTTCATGATTGAATTTCAATTAGAACTCAATTTGAAATTCATCCTTTTTTTATGGTGAAAAAAAAGCCTCCCAATGCTAATTCAATCGATAACTTATCTGAATACTCTGGATAATAATGAGCTTTGGTTTCAATGGTAACATTTTGTCGAGTAGATTAATATTTGGTTAACCAAGAATCGATAAGTACTCTTGTAGTTATCAATTGAATTGTAACAATATTTTTTTTTCTTCCTTCTCATGATGTTATCATGTAATCGTTGAAACTGAAACTGGATCAACTTGAATAATTTTTAGGAAAAATTTTATCTTTATGGAAAAAAGTTATGAATGTTTGCCTCGAGGCAAGATTATTTATTACCGATGAACAATATCATTGTTGTTATATTTTATGATGAATACTTGAGCTGAATGAATTCATTTCTGGTCTTAGAACTCGAGATCGACACTTAAAATTGAACTTTCAGTATTTTCCATTATTATTATTTTATGGTTTGTGGGAATGATGAGAATGATGATAAATGTAGAGGTCAAACTTTCAACAAATTGACTGAATAAACTTTAATTTACCAAATTGAATGTGAATTTGCTGGATAAAAGTGCAAAAAAGAAAATTCCTTAAAAATTATCATCACAATAGAATAGGAGAGTTTTCCCTCCCTGTGAATACTCTCATGATTATAATGATATCAAGAGAGCATCATAGTTATCACAATCTTTATCTTGGTCTATTTGTCTTTGAAATTCTGATTTATCAAAAAACTCATGGCTATTCAGTCATTTTTACAGAACTTTTTTTCTTCTCAATTTTCTCGAAAACTAAAAGTTCTAGAAACTTAAGACTTTGACACTGGATGATTGGGTTCATTTAAAGGTCCATTCTAAGTAAATTTTTATGAAAAAGAGCACAGAACAAATTCTGGATGAATTTTCGACTTCTGATTCTATGATAGTGATAATGATATTGGTAGAAATTGTGAAATCATTGGTTACCTTAACTTAATACTACTTTGCTATAAATAGAAATACTCACATGTATTTTACCAAAATTTTCAATTCTCAAAGATGAATTTCTGTTCGTCATAATAATAGACCAATTCTATTAACCATTAGGATCACGATAGTAATAAAAATTTCGTAAAATCATCAATCAGAGGGGAAAAAAGTTCTGTTGAAATGATGATCATGATCTGATTCTGATTGGAACAAACTTTTTCAAATTGTTTTCGTCACATTGAAATGATTGGTGAGATGGTGTTATGCTTATTGGTACTTAAATCATATTCGAGCAGTTCGAGAGAGGAAAAAATTTCCAACTAATTTATAATAAGTTTTCCATGTTTATTGGAAGATAAATCAAGAGTTTTATATCTTTCTCGGAATATTTTGTTGACAGGAATGTTCAGGAAATTCATGTCAAGAATGAATATCTCAAGTAGAAGGTGAAAGTCTATTATCGTTAGAATGTAAATGCTTGAGTATATTGGATGAGAATTGAATCAATCAGTTGGAACGAATTCCCACTCCCCATTTTAACAATGATCATGAAGATTATCATGAAAGGAAGAAAAGAGAGAGAGAGAGAATAGAAAAAGTTTCCATGATAATAATAATTCATAACGATAATTCAATGATAATAAGTCAATGACAGTTTACAAAATGACAATAAACAACAACAATAAAAGATTAGAAAGAAAAAAAATTCCAATACCATCAATGAAACATTCATGTACCATGAAAACATGGAGATAATAATGAAAGGAACTTGAAAGATGATCGAGAAAAAGTGAACTTTTTTTTATAGTTCGAACCTTTTTTTTTTTACTTTTCTTCTTCCTATTTTATGTTATTGAAAAAGGAAATGGATTTTTCTGCAAAAATGTTTCTTTGTTGTTTGGAATCATCATCATCTTATTTTACACAGAGGGAAATGTCCATCTTCCACTGGACCTTGTCGAAAGTTTCACTTTCGTCCATCAATAATACTCATGAATACAAGAGCATTGAATTATCATGCATCGAGGCTCAATGAATATCAATCACTTGCCTAATATTTACCGATATTGAAATTATTAACCTTCCAATATTATCTCATCCAATCCCTTGCCACACCTTACTGCCTATGCCAATGTTATCATCATTATTTCATGATGATGATCATGTTTCACTATTTTATCAATCGGCAGAAAGTTAATTTGAAGTAAAAAAAGTTCATGAAACTTTTTTTTTAAACTTTGACAGAAAAAAACAAATGAAAAAGCTGAACCTCAATTCATTTGATGGAGCAAATAAAATGAGAGAGTGAGAGTGATCGAAAGTCAATCCATCTTAATCACTAATCCTCATTTATTATCAACCTTTTACCTTCATCAAGTTAATCTAATTTGGAAATTTTTTCTCTCCATTGAATCTTCATAAAGAGATTGATTATCTTCCAATATTCAATCTACATGTAAATACTTTGACAAAACCTCATCACATGTTGATGTTTATTTAATTCGAGGTTCGAAGGAAAAAAAAGTACCGAACCCAATTGACCTAATTTTTTGCTTTCCATCTGATAATTCAATCATTCTCATTCTCATCAATAGCAATAATTATCTCATGATGATATTATTACAGTTAAATCGCCACCTATAAGATGATGAAATTTTATCACTTTCAACCAGAAGAAGATGAAACTTTTAACTGTGTGAATCAATTGATTCACTTTTCACCGTTGATGATCAATGTTATCGTAAATGAAAAAAAAACAATCAACCGAATAGGAATAAACTTTTTTTTCTGTTGATATATTTTCAATTATCATGGTTATGATGATGATGATGATGATGAGGACGATTCGAGTGATGATAATGAAAAAGTTATTATTTAAGGTTGCTAAGCATCATCGTAATGTATTATTATTATTGACAAAATTGTTTCATCATATTTATCATCATCTCGATCATCATCATCATTATATACTGATCACTTTCTCTCTCTCTCTCTCTCTCTCTCTCTCTCTCTCTCTCTCTCTCTCTCACTCAGCACAAATAATCATTTATTGTGATTGGGTGATTCTGTGTTTATCATCCAAAAAAAGGTTCAGGGGAGTAATGATAAGGTTACATGGAAGGAGAGAGAAAGTATCTTTCTATTCAATTCTCTCATTCCCATGAGACTTTATTTTTCCCCTTTTTATCGTTTCTCCATTGCATCAGAACTTTCAGATTTTTGTATCTTTATCCTTTTTCATGTAACCAGAATCAGGAAAACATAAAATGTTGACTTTTTGTTTTGATGTTTTCTTCATATTTCTGTCGTTGATGTTCAATTTCATTGATTATCATCATAAATTATGTATTAATAATTGCTGGTGATGATTATTATAACTTTTCGTGGAAAATTCTGATCAGTGTCTTTGGGTCATATCTTATGAAGTCTTTCATTTGTCTAGTGAGATAATTTCTCAAATTATTATGAGTATTCTCTATGTGGGAGAGGGTTAGGGTGCATGATAAGTTGATAAGGAACAATGATAAAGGTAAAACTTAGAGAGAGAGAGAAAAGAAAACAAACAAAAGGTGTAATAGCAGAAAAAACAATGAAGAAAGTTAGTTACATCCAGAATTCTGGGCTATTATTACAAGAGATTCTGGGAGAAGATGAGGATGACAAAGCAGAAACAAGAAAGAAAATAAGAGAAGGAGAAAAAAGGAAAAAGAAAAAGAAAAAGAATCGAATTTAGGAAATAAGAGTAAGAAAGAAAACAAAACGAATAGAACGAAGAAAAAAAAATATATTCGATTCCGATAGAATTCTCTGTTCACTTCCCATGGACATTTTGTCACCTCACGAAAAGTTCTAATGAACTAACATTTATCCTCAACTTCCACTTCTATTGTTAATCGAAATGATATCTTTTCCATGCTCCTATTCATAAGTCTAATTGATGATCTTCCTCATGTTCATCTCTGATTTTATAAAGAAAGTTCAATTGGGGAAAAAGTTCTAATTGCTTTCCATGGGCTTTACTATCCATCAACTGATCGTAATGCATACGGATACATCGTAATGTGTATGATTTATTGATCATTTTGCAATATCTCCTAACAACAATCAGTTGATTAGTTTCCAATCTTGCTAATTGTTAAAAGATAGAGAGAGAGAGCATGCTAATTGGTTAGTTCAGTTTCAAATTACATTACAATTGAATTTAAGGCTCATTAAACACTGTGAACGAAAGTTAGTTAGCTTTAATCTTTTTCTTTGGTAGATTAATCTTTTTGTATCCAGTCAAC